GATCCTATATAGGGATGACCAGTGCGCTCACAGCGCTCACTGGCTGAGCGCAGTGCGGCCGTCTCAAAAAGGACAAAAAAACAAAACAAAACAAAATTTATACTAAGCAATCAAATTTTTTTGTAATGTGGAAAATTGAAGATAAGGCTAGATTTCCAAAATGTCTAAGCTACTAAATATTTGCAATAGTGAAAGATGCCATGTAAATATAAGAAGGCAAAAAGAATGAAGACACTAGATCACATTTCATATGGTAATCTGCAAACCAAGTACAATTTTGTCTTTGAACTTCAAGAAGGAGCCTTTCGGCTGTCGGCCAGATCGAAGAGAACTGAATAAGCCCTTCTTTCCACCTTTGCAAACTGCTGGGTAAGAGTTCATTTTTTACCATTAGTGTCAGTTATTCATCCAGAGAATTCTATTTAGAGCTAGAAAATTTTGATATTTGAAGTCTAACACAGAAAGAGCAAGGCACTATTTTTTACTTTTAAAAAGAAACTTCTTTTTTTTTTTTTTTTTTTTTTTTTTGGCAGTTGGTTGGTACAGGGATTGAACCCCGGACCTTGGTGTTACCAAGCACCACGCTCTAATCAGCTGAGCTAACTGGCCAGCCCCCAACTGTCTTCTAAATGGCAGGAAAATTCTATGCTGCAATTGATTAGACTTAAAGAAAGCATCCACCACCAGTATCTGATGGGATAAGAGGCAATTATGCTAAAAGACAGATGGTCACAATGGAGTCCGACTCTGGGCTCTGTTATTGCTACTCCACAGTTGTGCTTTCTTAAAATAGAGCCTAAACACATGGAAGGGAGGGTCTGTTTTTCCTGCTAGACTTCAAGCTTCTTGAGGGCAAGGACCTTCTCTTATGACTCACAGAATCCCAAGGGCCTACTGTGGCCATTCAAACACAATGAATGACATGATATGAAATATGCCAAGTATGCCCTATAGTCTTTCCTTCCTTCAAACCAGGCGGCAAATTCTATTTCATTTTTGTTGCTATATCTACTGAGTTAATAAAATCAAGGGCTGCCAGTTAGCTCAGTTTGTTAGAGTGCAGTGCTGATAACATGAAGGTTTAGGGTTTGATCCCTGGATGGCCAGTCACAAGAAAATAAATAAATAAATAAATAAAATAAAAGAATCAAGACATGATAATAAAAAGAGAAGCTCAATACTATTTTTTCAGAAGTGTGATTCACAAGCAGCTTCTAAAACCTACTCCATGAGACTGGTTTCCAGTGGCTCACAGGAGCTGGATGTGACGTGATCCCAAGTTACAGAGAGTGGCCAACAGGTGGAAGTAAGACCTTGTCTTTATGTCAAAGGAGACAGATATACTTTGCCAGAAAGATCAGGTTTGGGACCTAAAGTGCCCTGGGCTCCTCCCACTGCCATATGGTAAGCAGACACAATCTCCCCATTCTTTTAAAGAGACATGGGGCTCTTCTGTATTCTTTGGTATTTCTTCTCTATTTCTTGGCTCTGAACAATTCTGGCTGAGTATGTGCCATCTATGCAGCAGACAGACAGTGTTCAAATCACACCCAGACACACAGACAGAGAAAGCCACTTATGACATTTTCCCCTTAAAAGTTCAAAACATCTTACTTGTGAAGTTCTGTTCTCATTGTCCCGTATCCTTTCCTTAACCAGTCGCACAAGAGATGCAATGTTGTAAAACTCCGCTTCTTCTAGTACACCTAGAACAAGGACCAAACTGTAGTCAGAGACGTGTGTGAGTTCACCAGAAAAACATCAAGAAGAGGCTAGAGTTTATGTGCTTGCTAAAAATGTCATTTTCCAAAAAGACAAAAAAAAAAAAGGAAGGGCCGGCCCGGTGGTGCACTGCTACAGTGCGCCACTTGGAAGTGCGGCGGTGCTCCCGCCAAGGGTTCGGATCCCACATACAGACCGGCCGCTCA